AAAATATGAGAGAGAGTGAGAGAAGGTTCTTGTTCACTCACTCTCAAGAACAAAAACCTCATCTCCCTCTCAAGCCACATGTGTGTGTTTTAAATGGTCAATTTCTTTAAAAAAAATTAAAATTTAAGTAAATAACTTAATAATATTAAAATATTAATAATTTGAAGATTAGATACTCATATTAGATGTTAGATGTTAGAGACTCCACCATTGTGGATGCTCTTACACCAGTTATATAAACGCTTTTGAACTTTTGCATTATCGACTGACTCTAATTTACACATGGTATATATATTTTTTAGATATCATCTTATTTTAGATGTAAGATATTGTTTATTACATTGAATTTGGGGAAGGATTATTCACTATGTTTGATCTTTTTTTTGTGTGTGGAAGCCTGCTGAAGTGATTGATGAAGTGAATAATTGGCCTAAACTACACACTAATGGAGTCATCGAGCAGATTCTCTCACGTGATTCTATGGAGGTTATCCGAGGCAGCAAATTCATACTTGCAAATGCAGTGTACTTCAAAGGAGCTTGGAGGGAAAAATTTGATGCAACGATGACAAAAGACAACGATTTTCACCTTCTCGATGGCATCTCTGTGAAAGTCCCGTTCATGACCAGTCGTGAGGACCAATACCTAGAAGAATATGATGGTTTCCAAGTTTTGCGTCTCCCTTATGTAGAGGATCGACGTCAATTCTCCATGTACATTTATCTTCCTAATGATAAAGACGGATTACGTGAAAAACCAGGGTTTCTTGATAATCCTATTCCACGCCATGTTAGATCTCTGGGTGATTTCAGAATTCCAAAGTTTAAGTTCTCATTTGAGTTTGAAGCTTCAAATATCTTGAAGGATATGGGGATGACTTCATTGTTTTCTCCCGGAGGTAGTCTAACAGAGATGGTTGATTCGTCCTCTATCGCTGGGAATCTGTATGTCTCTAACATTTTTCATAAAGCTTGCATTGAGGTGGATGAAGAGGGAAGTGTAGTTGCAGCTGTTTCTGTTGCGGTCATGGGGGAGACGTGTTCGTTTTACCGACCAAAAAATCCAGATTTCGTAGCTGACCATCCATTTCTCTTCACGGTGAGAGAAGACAAGAGTGGAGTGATTGTGTTCATGGGTCAAGTTCTTAATCCTTCAAAACATTGATTGAAATACTCGTGGTGCGAAAGAAATAAGCAATACGTTTGAACAAGCCAAACCTTAAATTTCCTTCTTTAATTTTATGTTTTGGAAAGTGGTGCTCTCTGGATTGTGGGAATAGAGTTACTCACCTTCTCTTTTCCATCATCATATATTTCTTTTAAAGTTTGTCGGAACATTTGTTTAAAATTTTTCTTTTTAAGAAGACCAAAAGAAACGAAAAGGCACATTGAAAAAAAAAAAAAAAATTGTGAGGTGTCAAAGTTGTGAGCAGAAGTAGTTTTTTATTGAATAGCCTAAGAGGCATATATATACCTACAAGAGTTTTAACGTAACCTAGAAGAATTAGGAATTTATAAATTATAACTGATGCAAAACCACAAATATGTAAATACTACAATATCATTTGTAAATACTATAATATCATCG